GTTTCAGGCATGAATGGGGCCCTTTCAGATGGAAAAATACAGTTCCCTAACCCTGACTTGGGATGGCAGGTGGAGAAAATCTCTCTCCACTCTCTTTCTCTGTCCCATTCACAGTTTTCAGTGTGAACCAAAGCAGAGGGAACGGGTACCTCCCCTGGTGGCATAAGTTACAAATGGGAGGCTGAATTTCAAGATGTATAAAAATGTTGGCAATGCAGATTTTATTCTTATCTAAAAAACTCAGGCTCAACGTGTTTCTAAATTGATACAGTTTTTTATTTCATGCTTAGCTCTTGAAGAAGGCCCCCATCGAGCCTCAGCTTGAATTCAATCTCCATTGCCATCGTTTTTATACATCTCGAGACTCAGTCTCCCCATTTGTACTTCTGCCATTCATAGTTTTACAAGTTTCTACTCATACCTATGTCTTCCTTCTTACCTCCACTCCCCTTTGGCCCTAACTTCATATAGAGATACATCAGGGAATTTTTGAAACACCTTAGTCCTGTGTGTAAGGAAGCAGCAAGAGCTTGGGGAAGCTATTTTGTGGGTCATCACCCACAAAATATAGCATCCAGCAGAGTTACCAGGGATTCTGGGAACCGTATTCCGATCGATGACTTGCATAACCTTTGCCTTCCCCAAGAGATGTCCAACATTTGGAAGTCAGGTATTGGTGAGGATTTAAAATTAGCTGTAGTTGAGTGAAGGTGGGGGAAATCCCATTGACAGCAATGGCGTACCTAATTGCTGTTGTTAGTTGCTATGCAGAGTCGGATTTGGGGGGATTTTTATGACTCAGGGTGACCCTTTTCAAGGTTTTCCAAGTGGAGAGTACTCAGAAGTGATTTACTTCCCAGAAAACCTTGAAAAAGGTCGCAGTGAGTCAGAATTGACTTGACGGTACACAATGATTATTATTATCATGGCAGGGGAAGGAGTGTTAAACCTCTTCTTCCTGCACTCTGCGATCACAGTGGAAGCCGTCCGTATCCATACATTTAGGATTGTTATTTTTAAAAACTATCTGAGGTGGCCGCACACTGCACAATTCATTTACCGTGGCCTTAGGCCTTCTGTGATTTTGTCTGTATGTGTGTATTTGCTTTTATCCCCTCTAAACAGCAAAGCCCTGTAACATTTCAATTTTGTTCTAAAGAGACGATTTGCTGCTGCCACATCATTGTGGTGTTGAAACAGACTGCCGAATTTAGTTTTAATTTCCCTAATTGGCTAATTTCTAGTCACTTTGTGCTTAATCATGAGCATGGAGTGGAGTACTCTTCCCGGCTGAGCTCTGCCTTGTCATTGAGTGTCTTTCCATGGCACGTAGATGGCCGTAAGATGCTAATTAGTGCCTGTTCGAAAGCTACTGCGAGTCCAACTTCAGAGCAGAATGCTGTGATTATGCCTGCCTTTCATCTTCTGTAATTTGAATCTGGCTCAAAAAAGTAACTCCTCTTTCAAGAGCAGTAAACCTGAGTACCGAAAATACTTGGCTGAGCCATTCTGTAATTTCTCTCTGTGAAGTCCCTCTCCCTGTCCACTTTATGAATTTTAAGTTTTGTTTTTTTAAATTAAACATGTTTTCGGAACAAACTGCCCACTCACTCTCCAGTGGGCATCTTGTCTCTCGTTGTCAGATGTTGAGCAAGGAGAAATCTGCCCACTTTCGTTTCTGTTACTTTCAAATATTTTCAAACTCGGTTTTGTTCTATTGCGTTTGATAAAGCATTTTTTTTTTTACTTTTTTAAATAAAAGGCTGCATCAAAAGCTGTACACATATTTTACATATTTTTTTTCCTAATGTACATAGTTTCCCATTCACTTCTAGTTACCGTATTTTTCACACCATAAGATGCACTTTTTCCCCACAAAACAGGGGGGAATGGAAAGTCTGTGTGTCTTAGGGAGCGAAAAAAACAGATTATATTTTCCTGTTTTCTTCTCCTAAAAAAACGTATGGATTTTTGAACATATGGCTGCGAAAGGGCACACATTCCGTTTCTCCCAACATATACATGAACAGAAATACGTGCAAAAAATGGCACGCATTGGGAGAAATGTACATATTATGGTATTTCTTGTAACAAATGTTCTTTGGCACAGATTCCAGTAATCTGCTTGTTTTTCTAAACATATTGGATTTTTGAACATATGGCTGCAAAAGGGCACACATATCTCTGAACATATACATGAACAGAAATACATGCAAAAAATGGCACGCATTGGGAGAAATGTACATATTATGGTATTTCTTGTAACAAATGTTCTTTGGCACAGATTCCAGTAATCTGCTTGTTTTTCTAAACATATTTTGATTGGAGAAGTATGAAACCTGAAGCAAAATTGGCTCCAGTTTGAATATACGTTCAATAGATGCAGATTCAGTTAGCTTATTTCGGAGGACAAACCAAACTAACATTTTTAGACCAACTTGCCCAGAAAACGGGGAGAGGGCTTTGCGTTCATATTCCTATTTCTAGACTTCTGAGAGGTACCAAATTGACCCAAATTGACATCAGGATGTTAGACTACAACAGGATAGACAACTTGCCATGGTTGAGGGGGGCACCATTCCCCCCCTCCCATGAGTCACCAGGGCTAGTAGACATGTAAAGCCTCGCTTCTCTCATCCTCTCATTCAGGAACCTGAAACTCCAAACATTTGGTACCTGCTTGTAAGGGGGAAAGGAACTCCCTGTGGATAACGATGCGAATTCTGTACCTGTTACGATAAATTACATTTGCTTTTTCTTGTGGATTCTTGTGGGGTGCTTTTAACGGATCCGGAAGTCTCTTTCTGGATGCTGTTTCTTTGGGCTTTGATTCACAGAGAGAAAAGACACTAGTTTTGTGCAGAGGCATTTTGCTCAAATTGCAGACGAGGGAGGAAAAGAGATTCTTATCTTGTTCTTGCACTGAAGGCAAGAAATCTCTCGGGGGGGGGGGTCAGTGGTTTCTCCACAAGCTGCCTTGGTGCCTCAGTACTGCCTGACTCCCTGAAGAGAGTGAAGAGGTCCTCAGGAATCCGTACCTCCCTAAGGTTTGTTGCAACCACCACTAGAATTACAGCACCAGTCACAAACAACAAGAACAAAAAATAACGTCATGGTTTTGCGTAATGTTGCTGCCACCAAAATTGCAACAATTCTTTTAGGAAACACGGCAGATCAGGATCGTGAGCTGTCTTTTGCAGAAGCACACTTGCAGTGTTATTCTGCTAAGGAACAAGGTCCATGTTTTCTGCCTGCCATGTTCCTTAGCCAGCAAACTGGAAAAGCAGCTGTTTGATCAAACAACATTCTGGATTAGACAATACCTTTATTGGTTCACAAAACAATTAGGAATAAACAAGCTGTTGAATTCTTCAGCTTCCCTCCCCCCCTCTGGCTAAGAGGGCATAAAATGTGCGTATTTTGGCAAATGCTCCAGACATTCATCAAAATGCAAGCAAAGAATCAATCAAGAAAGACTGTAAATTGATAAGCAGCTTGGGGATTATTAGCCTTAACCCCCAGTTTTGCATGCTCTTCGCCTGGTGATTTTTTTTTTTTGAGAGCTGCAAATCTTACCTTTTTTGTAACGTTTTTGTCATCTAGGAAAGCAATTCTTCAAACCAGAGTTCTGTGTCTTCTTACAACCACTCAGATTTTAGTGACAGCGACATAATTGTCACCAGCAGGGAACCCAGGGGGGTAACGCAGATGGCTACAGAAGGACCGATATAGCAGGACTGTATATATAATTTCTGAATTTCTTCAGAGTTGGTCTGTGGTTTGCAAGCAGTGGGTTTTTTTTGGGGGGGAGGGGAGGATCTTTTCATAAGATTAGTTCCTAACTTATCAGCCAGCTGCAGCTGTAACTCCCTTTGAGACCCAAGGCATTTGGGAGCAGAACAGGAGGGAAAGAAGCCCGCTGATTATCTTATTTTCTGAAGAGGTGACCGTGTCATCTTGGTTGACAAGCAAAGCCTGGCTGAGGGGAGTCTGTTAATTAAAGCAGCTGGGAGATAAGGATCGTTTCTTATTTTATTTTATTGCTTGAATGTCTTTTCCATACAGAACAGTGAGCCCTGAACTGAAGTCGTACGCTTTGGGGGTTCTCTTCCTCCTCCTCCGATTGTTGGGTAAGTGAAACCCAGTCTTCTGTTCTGCTGTCCACACAAAAGTTTGAATGTGTTGGGATGAGTTGTGTGGCTTATCCGTTCTCGGACCCCAAGCGGCACCTGAAAAATCATCTACTTCACCTGCTACTGCTCAGCTCTGGGCAAAGGAGCCGGGCGGGGTTAGAATCCACTACCTGAACCATCTTGAGCATGAGTAGTGTTGTCCAACTTGGGAAGCTAAATAAGGGTTAACTTGGATGAGAGACAGAAGTTACCAAGAGGGGCCAGGGCTCAGTTGTTAGACCATACTGTCAGGTTCAGCATCTCCAGGTAGGGTTAGGGGAAAAATCCAGTCCAAAATCCATGATGGCCACTGCTAGTTGGAATTGGAAGCACTGGGCTAGATCAGTGGTTCTTAACCTTTGTTACTCGGATGCTTTTGAACTGCAACTCCCAGAAACCCCAGTCAGCACAGCTGGTGGTGAAGGCTTCTGGGAGTTGCAGTCCAAAACTCCTGAGTAACCCAAGGTTAAGAACCAGTGGGCTAGATGATCTTGACTTAGCTTCTGGTGTTCCTGCGAGATGTACCGTATTTTTCACTCTATAAGACACACCTTTCCATAAGACGCACCAATTTTTTAGGAGAAGAAAACAGGAAAATATAATCTGTTTTCTTCACTCCATAAGACGCACAGACTTTCCACCCCCCTGTTTTGTGGGGGAAAAGTGCGTCTTATGGTGCGAAAAATACGGTACCTATCAGGAAGTAGTTTAAATAGTGCACACTTCGACAGTTGTCCGACCAAGAGTTCCAGTGAAACTCCCAGCCTCAGATAGCAGATCTTCTCTTTGGTCAACTTGCTACAAATCTGTCCATTCTGTCCTATGAAGATGGAGATGCTGAACAATGGAGAGTGGGCGTCCGTAGATTCTCATTCTCCCTGTGTTTAAAAAAAGGGGGAGGCTCAATGAAGCTCACCGTCTTTTTCATAAAGCTCCCATCGATCTTCTCTTCTAGGTCAGGTCCATACCTACTTAAAATATAGCAAACATTAACTATATTTATCTGTAAGGACAAAATGCATTTGAAGTGCTCTTTGTAGGATAGCTAGAACTCCACAGCAAGGTACAAGCTTTCAGGTTCTCCAGAAAGAACTCTTCATCAGGCTAGGTGGTTTAAAAAAAAAAGAATTGGAACAGGAAGGGAACCCTAGAATCCTACAAATTGATCTAGATGTTTAAAGCCATGTGGTCAATTAAACCCAGTCCCAAAATAGAGACTGGAGAAAAAGCAAGTTGATGCTTATATCCTTTTAAAAGTGTTATTGAATTTACCTTGAGAACCTTATTTATATGTATCTGTTTGCACGTTCCTGTGTTTAATGCTAAGTCATGTTTTTTTACTGTGGACAAGTTAAATCTGCTGTGTTATTTCCAAGCTCTGGGAGAAGGCTCATGTCCTCAAGTCCTGCCTATGAGTTTCTCTGTAGGTATCTGATTGGACCTTGGAAAGAATGGAATGCTTGACTAGATGGGTCTTGGATGGAATCCAGCAGAGCTGCCCCCAGGGCTACCCAGCAGATACCCACATTCATGATGATCCAGGTATCCCCAGGTAGTACAAAAATGTTTCCTCTGCTTTCATAGGTTTTATTCCACCTCCCCTGATTTTTGGAGCGGGGATTGACTCGACCTGCCTGTTTTGGAGCACGTTCTGCGGCGAGCAAGGAGCATGTGCTCTATATGACAACGTTGTCTACAGGTACCTCTATGTGAGCATCGCCATCACCCTGAAGTCCCTTGCATTCATCCTGTACACCACCACTTGGCAATGCTTGAGGAAGAACTATAAGAAATATATCAAGAACCATGAAGGTGGGCTCAGCACCAGTGAGTTTTTTGCCTCTACTTTGACCCTGGACAACCTCGGCCGGGACTCGGTCAGCTCAAACCCATCTCACAGGACAAAATTTATCTACAACCTCGAAGACCACGAGTGGTGTGAAAACATGGAGTCTGTTTTGTAGTATAACTGTATGGGTAGGTGGCTGACCCTGAGGTCCTTTTTCGAGTTTAAAGCAGAAAGAGAGAGAAATAAATGAAAAAAATGTAATATAATATATACCAAGTTGCTTTGGAAAGTACAAGCAAAATGGCAGCTGATGCCGTATCTCAGAATACTCTTTTCCATAGTTAAGGATAGAGGTAGACCTCCGTTCTCTTCTCAAAGAAGGATTTAGCAAGATCTGGAAGAACCGGGTCATTCTTAAAATCCAGCATGAGAAACGGAGGTGTGAAGCTCGACATCATCATATAAGATGTGTTGCTAGTGGGCAAAGCTGCCAGTGGTTTGGTATCGAGCACTGAATTGTATCACGGAGTAGCTGTCTGTCCTTGGGCATAAAGGCAAAGCAAAGGAGCAAACCCAAAAGCAGAGAAGAGGAGGAGAATAAGCAGCCGTGAGAGTTTCCAGAATAAGCAAACAGAAGTATCACTGGGGTAACCTTTGCAAGACCAGCTAAGGATATAAACATGGGTGCAACTCAGTCCCAGCATTCTTCAATCAGTCCCTAGCTCTCTTGTTCTCTCTCCCTCCCCCCCCCCAAGATGGGGGGAGACTATGCTGGAATAGTTGGGCCAATTCAACCATCAGCATTAGCCACAAAATCCTGAACAGCTGAAATGCCCCCCCCCACTGGCATGTGTCACATCTTCGTTCTTAAGGCACCAGCCTAAATTAATTAGCATATACATTAAGTCAATTTTGGTATGGGGGTCAGACAAGGGTGGGCTTTATCTGGCTGTGCCAGAAGGAGGAGAGTGGGGAAGGAGATGATTTTTACCGAGGGTACTGTAACCTTTTAAAACTACACAGAGATAAAGTTGGTCTAAGAGCAAAGGCCAATGTTATGTTTCAAAAGTGACCATTGAGCCATCTCGGACTTTCTGACAAGTTTTTTTCCATTTCGTTTTTGTTTGGCATGAATTTTGAAGCGGGAGGATGTTGTCGATAAAGTTTAACGCCAGAGAGATATGGTGGGAAATGTGTCCCACGAGCCGTTCTGCAACCGCGGCTTGCTTCAGTGTGCTTGGGTGTGACGATAGACTGAAAGATGAATAAGTATTGGAGATAGGGCTCCGGGAGTTATCATCCAAAAAAAAAAACAAAACCACACATTTTCCCATCTCTGACAAGACATCAAAAGCTGCAAGAAGGTGGGGCTGTGGGGAGACACACTGCCTTTAGCATGAGAAGCCTCGGATTCAACCTCCCGCTTTGTGTTGTGTGTGACAGGTCTGGGGGGGGATGGCTCTCCCTCCATCCCCACATGACTGTCTCATTTGTGGGAGAAGGGACCCCTGGTGAGTTTTTCGGGGGGGGGTTGCATGCCTGTACTAGAGACCCACTGGAGATCTCTTTCTGAAGCACCTAGAAGACAGCGCTGCCACCTCTCCTTCCCAGATTTAGTGACAGAGCACCGTCTTGAACCACAAAGCATGCAAGGGTAAAGCGTGTCTCCTTTCCTGCCCGAAGTGATGGTGCACTTTTTGGGTTGGTATGATTTTTTTCCCCCCTGCAGTGCTGCTGCTGCTAAAGTTTGATAGTTGTGTTTGCCAGAGGCAGAAGTAACAGCGGAAGGTTTTATTTACATCTGTGTTTCCCAGATTTGGGTCCCTAGATGTTCTTGGATTAAAAACCTTCACCACTGGCTGCGCTGGCCAGGATTTCTGGGGGGCCCAAGAATACTTAGGGTCGCAAGGTTGGGAACCGCTGGTTTACATCATGACATGGGGAGGCATATTTGGCTTGAAGGACCCATATGGCCCATGACTGTCCCATGGTGTAATCCTCACCTGCCATCAAACCTCCTGTTAGATATGCAACATGCACATTCATCTGTGTTTAACCCTGCATTCAGCCTTAAATCACTGGCAGCAAACTGTTAGCTGAATAATTATAACCGTCACTCATCCTATCCTGTGTTTCCTTTTTTCGCCATCTTGGTAATTATTTCCAATACAATTTATGTTTTTTTCAGATCTGGGGGCTTCATCCATTTTATCTGCAGTAGAGAAGCACAAATGTTAGGAAGAAACCAAGTTTGGCGGCGGACTATATCGGTAATTATAGGCCCGTCACCAAAGTTTCTTTCCTCAGCAAGGTAGTTGAGAGGGTGGTGGCTGATCAATTTCAGGCTCTTCTGGACGAAACCAATGCCCTGGATCCATTCCAGTCGGGCTTCAGGCCACACCACGGCATGGAAACGGCATTGGTCACTCTGTCGGATGTCCTACTGAGAGAGGCCGACAGGGGCAAAATGTCTCTGCTGGTCCCCCTTGATATCTCAGCCGCCTTTGATACCGTCGACCACGGTATTCTCCTGGGGAGGCTCTCCGAGTTGGGAATCTGTGGCCTGGCTCTTGCCTGGCTCCGTTCCTTCTTGGAGGACTGTCCCCAGAGAGTGCAGATTGGAGAGAGTTTCTTGGCCCCGTGGAGCCTCAATTGTGGGGTTCCTCAAGCTCGATTATCTCTCCAATGCTATTTAACATCTATATGAGGCTGCTGGAAGGGGTCATCAGGGGATGTGGGGCTTTGTGTCAACAGTACGCTGATGATACTCAGCTCTACATCTCCTTTTTTTCCAACAATAGTGGATGCTGTTTTGTCCCTCAAGCGTTGCCTGGGGGCTGAGCAGCAATGGATGCAGGTGAATGGACTGAGGCTGAATCCGGGCAAGACAGAGGTCCTTTGGGTGGGCGTCCCAGACATCAGTGGTCTGGGAAACTCCCTCTCCTTTGGGGGTATGTGACTCTTACCACCAAGAGTGAGGTTCACAGCTTGGGTGTACATCTGGACCCAGCGCTCACCATGGAGACCCAGGTGTTGTCAGTGGTCCGTTCCACACATTTTCACCTTTGGCGGATTGCCCAGCTGCATCCCTATCTTGATGTGGGGGGGCTCACCACTTTGGTCCATGCACTCGTAGTCTCAAGATTAAACTACTGTAATGCGATCTACGTGGGGCTGCCTTTGAGACTGATGGTAACTTCAGATGGTACAGAATGCAGCAGCCGGACTTCTTACAGGGGTGAAAAGGTACCAGCATATTTCCCCCACTCTGGCTGCCTTGCATTGGCTGCCCATTCGTTTCCGCATTGATTTCAAAGTTCTTACGATTATATATAAAGCCCTTAAACGGTTTAGGACCACGACATCTGGCAGAGCGCCTTCTCCCACCCAGTTCTGCCAGAGTCACTCGTTCCAGCCAGGCTGGGCGGCTGGGCAGGCTTCCCCTTTTGCCGTATCTTAATTTCTTATACTTTCACCACCTTGGATCTATATTTTTTTTTGTTTTATTGTTTTTTAATTTGTAAACTGCCCAGAGTAGACCTATTTGGGCAGGATAGAAATCCAATAAATAAATAGTCTAGGCAGGCTAAAAGGTTTATCTGATGGCAGAGAAAGCAAAGGCTGGCTAAAAATGCTTTGGATGCTTGCTATCTAAAATCTGGTACTCTCTAATTGTGTTGGGGTATCCCATCATCTCGTAGGATCAAATTTATTTATAGCCTTGAGGGCCAGGAGTGTTCAAGGTGTAAAAATATATATATATAATGACTGTGAAGATGGATTACTAACCCAAAGGCTGTTTTAAAATATGTAGTATAATATACGGGGATGTTTCAGAAAGGAAAAGCATAATGGCAGCCAATAATATATCTCAGAAATTTCTATAATGTTTCAAAATACTCTCAAAGATAGGGACAGAGGTGGATTTCTCTGTCTTTCTTAAAAGTAGACCTAGCAACGACCTGAAAAACATAAGGTTTATGTTGGGTTGGGTTT